CCATTGTGGCGACACAGGCGAGGCCCCTGTGCTGTCGCCGCCGCTGTTGCTGTTGCTGCTGCTGCTGCTGCTACTACCGCCGCCACCGCCGCCCCCGCCTGCCTGTTCTGCTTCCTCTGCCTCTGCTGCTGCTGCTTGCGGCTACCGCAAAGCCTGTCTCTATGTCCCCCACCTCTCGCCTCGCCATGCCTTTTGACCAAAAGTTGACCAACCCACACCGATTCTGACCCGCTTCCCAGGTTGTGAGCGATTACTTGACGCCCTACGACGGGGAAGCGGCGTACTTGGCAGCGCGCGGCGGCCCCGTGGCCGTATTCACCTACAAAATGCAATTCACGCGCCGCTCCGGCTGCGTCGGCGGCGCCAACAGCGGCGGCGACTGCGCCGCGATCGCCTCTTCGTGATCAGGAGGCGCGCGCGTGGGCTGCTGGGCGCGAAGGGCCTGCGGAGCTGCGTGCACGCCTCTCGAGTTCTCTGCGCGTGCTCTTGCATGCCCTGCGGCGCAGCTGGGGAGACCTCCTTTCCCTTGTTTTTTGTGGCTTTGTGACGCCCTTGTTGCACGCAGGCTATAATCGTGTTGGCCACGTTGCAACCAACAGGGGCATGTGGCTAGCTGACGGCAAGGCCGTTCAGTAAAGCGCCGAGCCCTGCTTGTAATTTCTGCAGATTTCCGCCGCCGTGTCCCTCATCCCTCCATGTGCTGTACGACTGGCTGCAGCAGATTCGCTTCGCGGGAAATGACAGGATGGTTACATGACAATGACAACGATTCAGTTGGACCCAGCGTGCAGCAAACGCAGCACACAGTAGCCCGGGTTCCTGGGAGCGCAACGCCTGGCGGCGTGCAACGGGTTGGTCCTATGCCTGAAACTTCCTCAGTTGGAAAGGGGTCGTCAGCAAACAAACAGCGGCCCCCTCCTATCCCAGCGCTTAGCTGGCTTTGGATTGCATGTGCAGGAGGCTAACGTATACACACGCACAGCAGGTCGAGCTGTGCGCACAAGGTGCCAGGTATTTGGCCGTGGCGAGGAAGCTGTATCCTGCATGATGGTCCTGTGATATGGCCCTAGAGCCTGGGGCAAGCAGGCAAAATGTGCAGTGCTGCTTGCAGGGGGCATGCATGCAGGCGGTCGTATTCTGAGGCGCTTGCAGGGGGTGATTGAGAACGACCCTGACGCAGCTGTGATGCGTGTAACGGTGCGTCACCCCCAGGGCACGATGGGGTGCGGACGGCCACAAAAAGCGAGGGCCAGGCCGAAAGCCAGGGTGGCCTGAAATGGCGCTCGCAAACTCCTTGCAGGCGCCGCCTCTGCACCGACAAGAAGGGCTGCCGATGCGCGTTGAATGGTGCCTTGCCGTGTATCCAGCGCTCAAATTGCCCTCACACGCGCATGCCCAGCAGCACTGCCAAGAGAGCAGCCTGGCATGCAAAACGCCACAGGACAAGTTTGGAAACGTGTCGCTTCGCGGGTGGGTCGCAGCGCGGGTGGGTCGCAGCGCGGAAAGGGCAATGCACCCCTGCGCCCCCCCCCCCCACACACACCTAACAACTGATGTGGATTGTCCTAGGTGTTTGCATCCGACAGGGCAACGGCCCCATCCAAACGGCAGTTTTGTTGGCCAGTGAATGGCCCCAATATGCTTGAGGGTGTGTGGGAAATAAAGATGCCGGATGGCACCCGCCACCCGCGCTCCTTGCACCCCGGCCGCACATTGCACTTGTGCAGCGTAGGCACGCGCATGGGCGGTGCGACGCCTGGCGTTTGGTGGCGCGGCATGCCCATCAGCCAGGCTCGACGGATGCACAGGCGAGCCATCTAGAGACTGTGATACGTGAGCAGCTGTGCGACTCTGAGTGAGCACACCGCACAAAGGGCCACATAGCATCCTTCGCAATGCAGCACAGACTCTGCTCGGCTTGCCTTTTCAGGACACTGCAAAGACTGCATTGTCCTGGGCTGGCAGCCCTGCGGCTCCAATGCGCCGCACGGTGTTTGATGCAACAAACTATGGATTGATTAGCGCCCGCTGCGCGCCCGCAATGGCTTGCCGCATGCACGGCAAGACGCAGATTGCGGCGGGCTGCGGCCCACCACATCAGCTCGCCTGAGCAATTTGTCGGGTCATGATATGTTGTGTGAGAGGCGTGCGCATGGTTGCGCATGCCTACCTGGCATCGGGATGCTGCAGGTGCGGTGCATGGCTCATGTTATGCTGTGCGTAGGCGTGAAGCCCAATGCTTGGTTGCAAATCAGCGGGGCCTGGCAGTGGTGCACGAGCATGTGATTGCGGCAAAGGGTGGTGTGCTGGTGACGTGGGAGCACGTAGCGCCCACAGAGGCACACCACATGCCTGGCTCGTCACATGCATGCATGTAATGCGTTGCGTGGGGGGATAAACTGAAGCGCCTAGGCAGGCATGGTTGTCGCATGCCAGGTCAAGAGGCAATGATGAATGGCTGTGCGCCTGTGTTAATCCTGATCCTAATGTCACAATCTGCCAAAGGCTGCAGAGGCTGGCGGCACATCAGGCCCGTCTGCAGGGAGTGGATAACGCCACAAGCAAGTGTATTTGGGCAGACTCGAGGGGTTGGCAGCGCCGGCTGTTGAGTGCTGGAGGGGGCGTGCACGATGGTGAGAGGATCCTGGGGCCAGGGCCCCGCCTCGACCCGTCCATGCGTGCGTGGCTGTGTGCACACGGAGCGAGCTGGCCGGGCCAACGAAAGAGAGGCGGACAAGCAGCATGCAGCCGGGCATGCGTCGCACTCCCTATAGGTGGGAATGATTGCGGCCAGCTGTCAGACAAACAGCATGCCTGGATACAAGCAGCCTGAGTCAGGGACCACTTGAGGGGGCGGGGGCGGTGTCGTGCGTGGCGATGCTGCAAGCCGGCCGACCACAAGCGGCCAGCAGCGCCGTTGCAGAGGAAGCAATTGAGGTGGAAGTGAAATAGTAATATAGGTGATTAGTAACCACTAACCTGATAAACAATTCGTACGAGGTTCCACGCGTCCTAGGCCCATGCATAAAGCTGCGCCCCCGCACTGAGGCTGGGCTGGTGGGCAGGCGCGGCTGCGCGGCTGCACCAGGCGTCGGGAATGCAGTGGGCAGGTACGGTGATTGAGGGCGGCGCACCAAGGGCAGGAGCCCGGATCGATACAAATAAGTTCCAGATTTTTTGCATGTGTGCCAAATGCGGAACCGCCCGAGCACACGCGGAGTTTGCCGTAGACGACCCCAAAACGAGCCTCCGCCTGCTTGCGGCTCCCGCTGCAGGCAGGCCTCGGAGTGGCCGCTGGCGTCCGACGCAGGCGCACTGGGAGGCGAGGAGGCGGCGCTGCCAGAGGCCGCGCGTGGTTCGGGCTGTGCGCTCTGTCACCACTTGTCCGCCCAGACCAAGGGGCCGTACCACTTCCCGCTAGCCACAGGCGTGCGCGCCGACGTCCAGCGGTACGCCGGGTCAGAGTCGTACTTCGCCCAGATCGAATTCAAAAACCGCTCCCTGTTGGCGGCGCCGTCCCCGACCTTGCACTCGCCGGCCGCGAAGCAGCGCGCCGCGGCGCCGGCGACGTGGGGGCTGGCCATCGACGTGCCCTGCCATGAGTCATACGAGCCGTCGGGCAGCGTGGATAGGATGTTGACGCCGGGCGCCGCGACGACGCGCCGCTGCTCCGCGGCGCTGGCGCCGGGGTTGAGCCAGTTGCTGAAGCCGGCGGGCGTGTTGGCGGTCGGGGAGATGGCAGTCACGGCGATCGTGGCCGGGCAGGAAGCGGGGGAGTAGCCGGCGAGGTCGTCGCCGTCGTTGCCGGCGGCCACGACGACCACGACCCCGCGGGTGGTCGCGGCCTGGATCGACTGGCAGATCGGATCGCGGACGGACCCCGTGCCGCCCAGGGAGAGGTTGATGACCCCGATCCCGAGGGACACCGCGTTCGTGGCGACGTAGTCGATCGCGGCCATGATGTCGCTCATAGAGCCGCCGCCGTCGTTGCCCAGGACCTTGATGGGCAGGATCTTGACGTTGGGCAGGACGCCAAACACGCCAAAGCCGTTGTTGCGGGCGCCGATGGTGCCGGACACCTGCATTGGGGCGATTCGCGCAGCAGGTGAATGGGGGGTGATTTACGAGAAAACGCAGTTGCACAGCTCAAACAATGGCTCCAGGTAAGCCGATGAGAGCGCCTCCAGAGCCAATCGCGCCACCTCCGTGGCGGCCGGCAGGCCTCCATCCAGCGCCCTCACCGCCAGCCAGCCGGCCTGGCTTCGCCCTTTCACACACCGTCTGCCCAACAATCCTTCCCTTTCTCACGCCCAATCAAATTCGCGGCACCCACGTGCGTGCCGTGCTTCTCGATGTCCGACCAGTCGCTGTTGCGGCGGCCGCCCACAAACGACATGCCAGTCTGGGTGTTGAGCTCGTCCAGGAAGGTGCCGCCAGTGTCCAGCACCTGCAACCACATAATCGTGTATTCAGAGGGGTTCCAATGCACAACCTTCAGGATCGTGGGGTCGAGGATGTGTGAGTGCGTTGTATCCCCTAAAACGAGCATCAGGGGTGGGCTCACCGGCCCGCAGCAGGGCAGCACCCCTCGCAGCAACACCCTCCGCGACCTCGAATCCCCGCTCGCCGGCCGCAGCGGCTGCCCCTCGCAGCGAGGCGCCCAATATGTCTGGGCAGGACCTTGGACGCATGAGCGCCCCCGCACGGCTCACCGCGACCGTGACAGACTTGTCTGCGTTGATGATTGGGACCTGGTTGTTGACGACCGCCTGGATGCGGGCCATACCCGGCAGCGATTTCTCTCCAGACTTCAACGCCTCCCGCTGCAGCCGAGCCCCAGACGGCGGCGGGGTGGGCGCCGGCGACGGCGTCGGGTTGTTGCCACCGCCGCCGCCGCCCCCGCCGCCGCCGCCGTCGCAGAGCTTCGTCGGCAGCTTCCCAAAGTTCGCCGGCTGCGAACCGCACGCGCCAAACCACTCGCGGTCAAACATCGGGTTGACCGCGCCGGCGGCGCGCGTCGGGCAGCCGACCTTGCCAGCTGCGGTCTTCAGCTGGAAGCTGGACCACCTGACGAGTTTGTTGGCTGGCCCGCAGGGGGCGCCCGTGTAGAGGACCTGTTGGCTCTTGAGGCCGCAGCCGGTGATGGCGGCAGTGTAGGCAAAGGAGGAGGCGGCGGCCGTGGAGATGCACGGGGATGGGTCGCTGCAGACCTTGGTCGGCAGGCTGTGGCGCATTGTGGGTGGTGGGTGGCAGAATCGTGTGTGTGTGTTGTGTGTGCATGCGTGTATGTGTTTGGGGGGGGGTCGTGAGGGGTGTGAGGTGGGGGGCTGAGATGCAGCAAGGTGCGATGAATAGATTTCATGTAGACCAAAATTCAAGGGGCAAGACAGAGCAGGGGCACCAAGCGTTTGTGCGGGCGCGATGCCAGCACAAAGGCATTGGCAATGAGGTGTGGGGTGACAGCACAAACGCACAACCTGCAGGTCGAGACGTGGCGGCTCATCAGAACCACATGCCACTCTAAACCACTGGCGAGTGGCGCCTGCGCCAGGCTGCCCCCCAGTTCCATGGCACACATCCCCCTCCCTTCGAGGCCGCACCTGGCGCTCGTCGGCGCGACGCCACAGCCGCCAAACACGGCGTTGCCGAACGGCGTCCCCGGGCGGTATTGCGGGTCCGTGTAGTGCGAATGGCAGTTGGGCACCAGCTGGCCACTTGCCTTGTCGATCGCATACACGCCGGTCCATTGGATCAGGCTGAAGTCTGCGCCGCAGCGCTCGCCGTACCACACGAGAGTGGTGCTGGGGGTGAGGCAGCCCGCCCAGCGGAGGGTGAAGGCGGGCGTGTAGGCGGCCAGGTTGGAGGGCTGGGCGCAGGGCACTATGATCCAGGGGCGAGGGGCGAGCACAGGAAGGGTGAGGAAGAAGGACGCATGAGAATAATTAATCAGCATTGAAGTGGCATGTGTGCAGGTTCACACGTGCGCGATCGTCTGAAAAAGACGACGCAGACACCGGCGATGCAATCACGCCGGCCTGCCGGGGCGGCAGTCATTTATTGCCAGGTGCTGCAGCAGCCATGTCGCCTTGATTCACTGCTGCAACCACCACGGATAGCATAGGCATTTTTTGGGCCCGAGTGGGGCCCCGCCTCGCAGCCGCAGCCCTGCCAGCGCACCTTGCTGCGTTGTGTAGATTGTATTAGGGTAGACCCCAGTCACCCCGGGCTGCGCCATCAGCGCGGCCACGACGTCGCCCGCAGGGGCCTGGGCATCGACCTTGATCGTGGCAAACCTGACGGGGAAAATGTATCCGCCGGTGGCTGCGGCGGTAGGGTCGACGCTGCTAGCAGATACGACGCTGTAGGGGTTGGCGGCCGCAGCGGAGGCTGTGCCTGGGGACGACGCCGCCACCGCCTTGGCGACCGCGGCTTGCAGTCTGCGAGGGGAGGGCGGCATGTACGTGTGCGTGCGTGAGGGGGGGGGGCAGGAGGGTGCGGAATCGCTGCTGCGTCGGCGAGTTGGGGGTGCAAGTGGATGGTGAGGGCGCACCCAGTGCATGCAAAGCGAGGGCTCGCTGCGCTTTGGGCCACCAACAGTTGGCCTGCAAATCTCCAATACCGCACCTCAGGGCCAGGCCGGTTGTTTTACGACCCGCAAGGCGATCATGCGCGAATCGGGTACGCAGCCCTCTTGCAAAACGCACAAGTGCGCGTCCATTCGCCCGCGGCAGCGTGCGCCCAGACCCCGCCCTGCCAAGTCCTCTCACGTGGTCGCCAGCGCCGCCGGCTCCTGCACGGCGCTGTCAAACAGCACGACGAATTCGCCAGGCCTGGCTGCGGCCGAGGGCTTGCGGTTTGCTGCGTGGCCAGGGGGTGCAGGGGGGCCGGGCAGGGCCGCGCGACGCCGGGCGAGGGGGTGTGGATTGGGCTTGGTGGGCTGGGCTAGGACCTGCCGGCCTAGGGACCGAGTGACCGCCAGGCGGTCCCCGGACTGCTGGCTGCCGGTCTGGCGGCCCGGGCACACGCTGCCTGTGGATGTGGCGACCTGAAGCACCCCAATTACAATAGAATGCATGCGCACCTGTTGGCTGCACATCAATCAGCCCGTCTGCTCCAACACTGGCTGCCGCAACGTCAGCTGTGGCTGCCGGGGTGTCTTGCGGTGCAGGCGCCACAGCAGCTCCATTGGGTGCGACGTCTCCGGTTGGCTCAGGGCCACTGGTTGAGCGACGCAGCCTGTTCGGAGTTCTCAGGCGCAGTGCAGGCTCGGTCGCGTGCACGACGCCTGCAAGGAGCGCGAATATCACTAGGACTCGCATCTTGACAGTCAACAGCCCCCAAAATACGCCGCGCCGTGAGCGCTCGCTCTGATACACCGGTCACTGGGTCAAGTCACTTGGTCGCAGCTGTCACACTCGAGGGTCTCCGACCTAGATGGTCGCTGTGGTCCGAGGCGCAACTCTAAATCCGATGCAAATGATTTGGAGCTGATATAGCGTTTGATAGAGCGTGGGTTGGGACAAAGAAGATAATCACGCGAGGCGACGGACTTTGGGCGGGTGTCCGACAATCTGCGTGGAGGGTCTGGAATGCGGAAAGTGTGGAACTCAAGCGTAGCTTTGAGCGATGTTGACTAACATAAGGTATCAGCACGTTTGCCGCTGCGGGTGTTGGGGGCGCCGTTCTTGGTCTACTTCTGCGGTGTTCACACACACACTGGCCCACCACCACCAAACGATTACGAATCACCGTCGGCTGCGGCACCTGAACTCTGATGCACGCTTTTCTGCAGGTTCGCGCTTGGCTCTTGGAAATGGCTAGACCGGGAAGGGAAGGCCGTGATGGCCTCGAGTCCGCCGACCACCGAAGTTGCGACTAGGCGTGGCATCCTTGCTGCAGATGCACGTGTCCGTTTGGGCTCCAGGCTCGCGTGCGGGTTTCGCGCCTCGTCTTCGGGCAACATAGGGGTTCAACTTGCCCGGGCTCTGCCAGCTCTTCCATCCCGCACCCACTCCACAAGCTGCACCCGCTCCGCGTGCGTCCCAATGGCGCAGAGCTTTGCAGGCGGCGGGCATCACAAAGAGTAGGGCAGCGCCGCGAGCCGCCCTCCTGCCGCGCCCGGCGTGCGCGCTAGCCAAGGGGAGTGCGCCAGCCGGAGCACCGCCAGCATCAGCGGCTGGCGGGCGCCGTCTAGCGC